AAAACGGGGTCGCCGGTAGATGAACCCCCGAATCGGCACGAAATTTGAGCCAAAAATTGTACGAACCGTTCGGAAAAGTCGGCCAGCTGGTAGAACAACCGCCGGTAGATGAACTACTGAACGGGGCTGAAAGGCCGCGCCAGAGTGTTCGATCAAATGTAAATACCTGCGTTTCGGCATTTCGGATGTCGGTATTTCTTTGTCGGTATTTTTCTGTCGACATTTTCAATGCCGGCATTTAGACCCTTAAAAAGTTTACAGTCGTCCCAAACGCTTTAAATACTATGCGAATTTCTAGGTGCTCGACCCGTCGATCTCGTGGCAGAACAGGAAGTCGCAGGGTATGGTCCGTCTCCAGTCCGGAACCAACCGATTCGCCTCTCAGGCCGTAAGTTACTAACGTCGAAATTTTAATTAATTGTCGGTATTTACTAAACGTTTTCAGGGTATGACCGGATTCGGAACGATCCGAAACACGACCTACGAGGCCGAGGCCGGTGAGCTGCCATATGAGGACATGAAGAAGTCGGAGACCATCATCCCCAGCCAGGCCGGATGGAATCGCGGAGACTCGCAGAAGGTAACATTCGGATTTTATCATTGGCCCATTAAAAAAACGAAAATTTAAATTTCGGCATTATTTACAGGGCAATATTTTAAAGGCATTTTAAAATTTTTGCAATTTGCATACGGTTTTTCGAAATTATTTTTTAGAGGTTCAGAATTTTATTATTAAAATGGCTCCTTTTTCGAACCAGAGGCGGCTATATTTGCATTTTACGCTTTTAAAATACTATAAATTATGCAAATTTTGTTACAATATTTCATCGTCTGGAACTTTCCTGATTTGAAATATGGAAATTTTAAAAACTTTCTGCTTGGAAAAATCTAGAATTTCGAAAATGCTCATGCAAAATTCGATTTTGAAGTTTTTGAATTATGCCAGTTAAGTTAGCGAATTTTGAAAAACGGCGATTTTGCTGTAGTTTATCTAATTTGCATTATTCCACATACTCCAAGTCAAAACTTGGTATTTTTTGTAATTTATGTAATGAAAAATATCAGGTTTTAAGATATATAATTTATGTAGTTAAAATTAGGCTTTAAAAAGCTTTTTTTGAGCGTAAAATTACCATAATTCTATTCGTAATTCTGCAAATTGTCCGTTTTTCAGAACATGACCTGCTTCGGCGCGTCCCGAGACGTTAAGGGCAAGCATCTGAAGCGCATCTGGGAGCTGGAATACCCGGAGGAGGCCGAGATCTCCCTTGATCGGCTGTAAGCCATCAATAAGGAGCATCACCTGCCGTCCACTAAATGACAACCACGCTACCGTATCCCCGTCTATCTAGTCATCAAGATGTGGGTCCCTCACCCCGTTCCTCTACTGCTTTCAAGTGAAATCGTCGGAAAATCCCAAAAAATCCTCCATTTTCCATATTCCCTGTCTGCTGCTAATGCTGCCCCCTACCGCCATCTATTCGAATTTTATTTGTGTGTCATTTCCCTGCCTCCATTAACCCCCCTCCAACCCCCCGGCTGTCCAGAGGAATAAAACGTATTTGGCATCGAAAAATGTTTATATCAGCACGCGCAGGTTTACAACTAGAGAGCATTGAGGAAGAGAGACAAAAGAGAAAGAGGGAGAGTGAGATAGAGAGCGGGAGAGGCGAGAGAAAAAGCTAGTGAGTGTAGCAGATAGAGAGAGCGAGCGAGAGAGAGAAACAGAAGGACAGAGCGTAGGCGAGAGAGCGAGAGTGAGATAGGTGGTTGGATGAAGGAGGAGGAGGAAAGGAGAGGGAAACAGAGGGCGTGCGTGGCGAGGGGCGAGAGTGAGATAGACTGGGTGAGATGGAGAAAGTGAGAGAAAGAGAGAGAGAGAGAGAGAGAGAGAGAGAGAGAGAGAGAGAGAGAGCAAAAGAGAAGGGCGAGAGAGAGCAACCCAGGGTAGTTTAGCAGAAATTCTTGAGGAATTTAAGGTTTCTTCAGGCTATGTAGCAGAGCTCTATGCCGAAAAACCGGCAGTCGTGGAGCATGCTAGCAAGGATTCTTGAGGAATAGGTAGATTGGCTAACTATGGTCAGATAGCAGAGATCCTTGGAGAATTTTTATTTTTTTCTAGTGCAGAAATTCTACATTACCCTCAAAAAATTTATACACATTTCGAACGAAACCAACAAAAAGACTAGAAATTTATGGCATAGATAACAAAGTAGAAAAGAAAAAAAAATGAATGAGAATCAGCTCTTTTTGGAGGGGGAGAACACAGCATCACAACCCGTTTTTTGTCGTCTTCGATTGGTCTTGGTAGTTTTGTAGAACGAATCAGATGGATACGAAATTGTTAATATGAAAACCGGTAAATTCAGGGGCTGCTCATCCTTGATTAAATTTGAGTATGAGCGTCACTCTGCTCCACGTGCTCAACGATTTTTCGGGCTTCAGCGATGATCTGAAAATGCTGCGTTATTAAATTTATGGTTGAAGTCCTTTTGGTTCCCTAATCGAATTCCCTAAAAATCTCTGCTAGCCTGCCTTTCTCAAAAAATCTCAGCTAGTCTGCCGTTTCCTAAAGAATTTCTGCTAGCGCGACTCGCTCAGAGGATCTCTGCTTGCCTGCTCATTCTTAAAAGCCTCTACGGACCTGCGATTTCCCAAAGAATCTCTGCTAGCCTAACGCTTCCCAAAGAATCTCTGCTAGTCGGCTTTCCCAAAAAAACTCTGCCAGCTTGCCTCACCTGTTCGATATCAATTGTCGAGTACGGTTCGTGAAGGGGTGGGGCGAGCAGAGAGCCCGGATCACGAGTTCCTGCAAAATTTTAGGTTACATAATATCTTAAGTCTATCGAAAAACCATTAAAAATCATATATGAATGGCCAAATACACAATCAAATGAAAATTACCATCATAATCATCGTATTCCAATTCATCCAAAACCGAGGCCGCCGAAGAGCCGAAAGGGAGCGGTGTATCCGCAGCTCGATTTGTTCTGAAAATCAATACTTTAGCTGATACTGTAGACATCATACAATAGCTATTTCGTTTTATACCCCAGTCTTTATATCCCAGAAAAATTAAAAGTACCTCGGGGTCCCGTGGGCGCTCAACTGGATGCCAATACTCCGCTTGGCGACAAATTTCTGGATACTGGCTTGCGTGGTGTCGGTATTTCCCGAGCGTATCATTTCGGAATCGGGTCTGAAAAGCACGAAATGATTTCCGCAATGATCTCTGCTAGCCTTTTTTGCCAAATAGTCACCGTGATTTTCCGAAGTTGTAAAAGTTCTGAGTCTCTAAAGAGTTCCTCATTTTACCTCCAGGAGCTCTGCTAGTTTACGGAGTTTGGAAGAGCTAGATTTTCCACAAGGATCTCTGCTAGCCTACCAACGTTTTAAGGGAACTAGGAATTTCTCCAAGAGTGTCTGCTAGGCAACCCTAGCACCATAAACTTCATAAAATTCTAGATACTGTAAAACCTACCGTTTATCGATCAACGGCAAATCGGGTGTCTCGTTTCTTCGGACTCGTTTTGTGATAGAGGCACAGACGAAGGGTGGGATGAAGACGAGGGCAAGAAGGAACAGGCAGGTACACGCTGAAAAAAAATAGTCATTATTAATACGCGATATAAAGCTATTTACATTTTTTAGATCATCCTATCGACCTCTAAAAACTCACCAATAATCAGCTGATTTTGGCAGAACGGGTAGCAGCTCTCCTTTCCGAGGGCTAGCGGCAAGACTTCGGCTAAAATTTGGATTTGTGGATTTTTTCGACGTTCTGTTTCAAATTTTCTAGCTAGGAATTTGGTTTTAAGAGATTGATAATGTTTCCCCCAATTGTTGTCTTTTCCCCATGAAGCCGAAGCTAAAGAGCTACAGCTGTCTTCCTTTCCTTCATGTCCCAAAAATTTCCGTATGCATACACCCCCGCCCAAGAGACCGCTCTTGACATGAGCCGGAATAATTAACATAGACCGGGAGGCGTGGCACGCGAAGGAATTTCTAGGCGTCAATTGGAATGTTGCGGAATGGGATGGAATGGAATTTGTACAGTCGCGAAGCGTACTGACATTTGAAATATGCGCTTCGATTTTGAGGCACTCGAAAAACTGTCTTTCTAGATACGTCGTTAACGTTGTTGTTTCAAGCAATTGGATTTTTACTACGCCGTTGCTAGTATTGAAACGTAATCGCAGGCCAAAAATTAAACGCCAAAAACGTACGCCGGACAACATAGACGACCGTATACCCAGGAGCTATGGTATTCGGGTCGATGACCGGAACCGGGAGGTGCACGTCACGCTCCGCTTTCCCATCTCTCGGCACGAACACGAAAAATAGGTCCTCGTCCAGGTGACTCGTCCAAGTTGCTTGCTCTTCTGGCGAGGAGCTCCATCGGAGGGTCTGAAATAAGTAAACTGAGCATGAGCATCAACATGACATGAGCACTGAGCAGAAATGAGCATCGTAAATTAAGGATTTTAATGATTTATCAAAGGGTCAAATTTCGGTGCCGAAATTTCCAAAAATACCGACAAATCTGATTTGGTCGTGATAGATTGTGTCGAGATTCAAAAAATACCGAAAACAACAAGATCCCAAAAACGATGCCGACACTATAATGCCGAATTGCGCAAAAATACCGACCGGTTTCCAAATTTTAAGAATACCGATAAACAGCCAATCATTAAATGCAAATTTCGCCTGCTAAATTTGCATAAGATTTTGCGCTAAGCTGTCGGTTAGGAAAATGCCATTGTCGTGCCCATTGCTTCCACAATAATCCTTGGAAAACAAGTGGGTTCTTTGGCTTTTAATTTTTCCAGTAGCTTTTTTATGGAATCTCAATTTTTTTTTATTTTTTGCTTGACTTCCTGTAAGAATACTGTATTTTCAGTGACGATCTCCCGTGGCAGCACCCCGGGCAGTGGAACGACCGATGGGTATGGATAGGGACCTGGAGTACATTCCGCTACAGTACCATCGACGACCGTCCGATGGAGAGCGACAGCTTCTACGTCTGGGATCGTGATCCGTATCCGCCCATTCAGGCTGATCGCGAGTACGTAGTTTACGCTACATTTGGGGAGTTTTGAAGGGGGTAAGGTGTTCGGAATTTTTAGAAAATTAGAGTTACAGTAGCCGGGATTACGGTAATTCTGTCGCACTGTAATCGCTATTACGAATTCAGTACTTAAAAATTAGCGAGTACGGTAGCCGGAGTTAGAGTATTTTTTTAATTTTCGGAATTCCGTCTGCTGTAGCCGGTTTCTATGGAATTTTTGGTTCTGATCCCTTAGCGGGGGGGGGGGGACGGATTCGTTCTTGCGCCTCCCCCCCCCCGGTAACGCAAAAGAGCCATTTCCGCTTTTTTCCAGCCCGTGGTGGCTATGGGCTTCCCGTGCGGCTTTGTGGACGAGCGTCCTGTTCTTCTTGATCAGCGCCGTCGTGTGGATGTCCCTGACGCCCGACGATAGCTATTATTTGGGGGAGGTAGGTTTTCTCGAATTAAATTAAAACCCATTAAATCCGTTTAGACGAGGGAGCCAACAGCGGCAGAGTGGTTCGCCCCGGGGCAGGCGCCGTGGCGCGATGACCGCAAGAAGGTCATCAACATTGCCAACCAGGCCGACTTCATCTTGACGACGCACGGGCAGTGTGCGCGCATGTTGCGGTGGGTTTTGAGGAAGAGCGTGACGCGACGGTGACGCGTGTTTGGTCCTCGACCCCCATTTGGTCAAGTGGTACGGGTCCGCGCCTACCGATCTAGCGACGAAGGTTCGATCCCCGTCCACCATAGGCTTTTGCTTTTTGCTCAAGATGTTTTTTGCGTATTTTTCCGGTTGGAGGTATGTTTGGAAAATCGGGTCCTTGCGCATTATCGGGGGGGGGGCTTAAAAATCTTTTTTTTTGCCAAAACTGGCCGATTTTTGATCAAAATTTCGAAGTTTTAAACTTTTAAAAAGTTTTTAGTAGTTTTTACTATGAAATACGGTTAAATCCCCCCGATAATGCAAAAACTCCGTAAATTGAAAAACATCATCTACTTGCAGCACGGGCTCGGTGGGCCAGGATTGGACCCTCCGCCAGCAGGCTCTGTTCATCCACATGTGTGCCATCTACGAGAACCCCCAGCGTGCCTCGTTCTACTCGGCTTCATCAGCCATGGTCTTCCGCTTGAGCGAGTAGGGCAGGCTTCCAGCGATTATTTTAGATGCAATGCCGACAGCGAAATTTCGTTAATTTGACCTTTCGACAAATTGAACTTTCCCCGAAATGAAATGCCGACAAAAGTTCCACAAAATTTTCGACGAATTCTGTTTCGAAAAATTGCCTTTACCTGCCTGATTTTCGACAAAGCCAGCTAATGTAGCAGTGATCATTTGCGGAATTTTCTAGCACTGGCCCCCCATTGGCGGAGACGGTCAGCTCGCAGGGGTTCATCACCTACTGGCAGACGGACGAGGCTCGAAAATATGGAATGAGTAGGGGGGCAATCGACGGCCGTTTAAAGGACCATTGAAGGCATGTGGGATACGGGGGTCCCCTCCGCCTACACGGTCCTCAAATACACGGCTCTCAAGAAGTTTGACGACGACAAGAATTCCACCCTTGCCGACATGCACGCATGGCTTGAACAAGTCAAATTCTTGTTTCTGCCTACTGGCAAGGATCAGGTGATACTCTTTCTCCCAAATTATCCCTACTAGCCTACTGGCCAAATTGCCTAAAGGATCTTTATTAGCCTGTTTTTCTATCCAAACTACTAAAACTATGAAAATAAGGGTTCTTTAGGATTCGCGGGGGAAAGTATTCCCGGGGGGTATATACCAAATTTTCGGCACAGCCTAGATTTTTTATTAATGCGGATGCGTTCTCTAAATTGTTTTAACTATCCGAGCATAAAAACTACACACATTTTAACCAAAAAAAATTTAAAAAATAAAAATGGTCGAACGACCTATAGAACCTTTAGGATTCGGGGGGAAAGACCCAAAATGACCAGATTTTCGACTTTTTCAAACATTTTTCTAAATTTTTCTGAAAGTTTTTCTACTTTAAATATAGTTAAAACTACTAAAAACAATTCGAAAACACTTTATATTTGATTACTAGGTCAGCCGAGACCACCAGGAAAATTGGTTTCCCCGGAATACCCCCCCGGGAATCCTAAAGAACCAAAATAAGTACTGGACGGTTAGCGGGGGGGGGGGCAACTAATTTTTATCCTTCCACCGTACGGGATTACTGGAAAAATTAGTTTTATTGTTAATCCCTCCCCCGCTAGCAGTACAATACCTGTTTTCCAATGCAGTTTGGCCGTCTTGTGCCTGTGTCAACGGAGACTTGGCGATCATTCACCCATCTTCTCGAGTTCCAAGAAGCCGAGGTGCTGAACAGGCAAAAGTAGGGGCTTGTTTCTCGTTCTCCCATCCTTTACTTGTCCTTCAGGGAAGGCCTCGCCCAGTTGACGAACCTATGCAGCATCTTGCGCCAGGGATCATGGGGCCGCTCGATAGATGTGCTCAATATGACCATCACGTAAGTCTCCGATCGTCCAAGACTCACTAAATTTGCAGCCGTAACGCCACGTTCCTCGAGTTCATGGGTGACACGTTCATCAAAAAGTAGGCCACTTTTGGGCAGCTACCAAATCCACCACTTCAGCGAGAAGATACAAGGCCTCTACTACGTCACCACCGGGTAAAGCCGAAGCCGAAGCCGAAGCTTAAACCTAAGCCTGAACCTCAACCGAAGCCTAAGCCTAAGATTAAGTATAAGGTTAAGCCTAATACTAAGCCTAAGCGTAAGCGTAATAAGCGTAAGCCTAAGCTTAAGCCTAAGCGTAAGCGTAATAAGCGTAAGCCTAAGCCTAAGCCTAAGCGTAAGCGTAATAAGCGTAAGCCTAAGCCTAAGCCTAAGCCTAAGCCTAAGCTTAACCAACAAAGCCCATTTTACAGCCGAAAGCTTCCGCAAACGTTGGACGACATTCTCGAGCCGCAATGCCTCTTCATGTATCTGCCGCTGTAAGCGAATTCCCTCCCACGTCGTATAGATGAACACGCCTCTCCAGATGGTCCGATACGATGGTGTCGCGCATCAATTACCTGCTATTTGGCGGTACGCATGAAATGCCGCTCGCGGGGGACGACGAGATGCGAGCGCGGGCCAAAAGGTACCAGCTATTGGATTTCGTTCTGTATCTCGGTTGCCCTCTTTCTTCAGGGTTGTAAAGTACACCAAAATATTCGCCAGAGCACGGCGAAAGTTTTGGTATACTTTACGGCTATTTTTGCAGCACTGCTCCCTTTTCGACGTGGGACGAGAAATCGAGGTATCCCCGGCATTGCATTGCGTAATAGCCGATCCTTATTTTGCAGCCAAACATTCACTTCTTCGATCTTCGGAGAACTCAAGTACAAGTAGGGCACCGCATCTACCGTAGTATCCATTAAATGACGTTCTAGTGAACAAAAGGGGTTGCTCGACGATCAAACCGAACCGGGATGTGCATTCTCGGATCGATGGAGGAAGATGGTGCGCGAAGACTTTTACGCAACGATTCCGCCCAGTAAGTGATTTGACGATTCTGGCAGGTACTTGCCGGAAGTGTCCGACTTGTCTGGCTGTATTTGCCGAGCTTTTCGGGCCGTCTTGCTAGGCTTGCCGGGGCGTACTCGCCGAGCTTTTTGAACCGTACTTGCCGGGCCCGTTCGGCCGGCCGCACTTTGCTTGATCAAGTTCTCCGAACAAGCGTACTTCTCGGTGTTGTTCTTCCAAATGTATCCGGTTCGGTCCAATCGCTCTCTCCTAATGATTTTTGCGGCCTGAACTTGTCGGTGTCGCCTGCCGGTTGTACCTGTTGGCGTTGTCCGATGGGTTGCGCTTGTTGGATTTGCTGGGCCGTACTTGTCGGTGTTGTTGGCCCAGCCACTTAACGCCCTAGGTGGACCGCTCGTAGTTGCCGGTGTTGTCCGGGATTTTCAAGATGGAAAGCCCGGACAATTCCTACAAGTGCGTCCGGCCAGACCAGATCGGGAAGTAAGGGGCGGTCGGACAACATCGACAAGTACGGCTCGGCCGGACAACACCAACAAGTGCCGGCCAAAACGTTGGAAAATCCGGCTCGTAAACCAGAGTCCTATTCCCCAATTTTCAGTGGAAACGAAATACCTGCCTCGCGACTTTAACCTCTTTGCCGACAGCGCCTCCATCAAGGAATTTGTGTCGAAGCGAGACCCGGTGAGGGGCGCTTGCAAAGTAGGATGATTCCGGGATTTCAGGCCAAACAAGGCAACCAAACGTGGGGCTCAATCGTCGGCCATCGATACCCCTACGGCACCCAGTTCTTTGCCAACCTCTACCAGCTGCTCAGTGCCGAAAAGGACCCGCATGCCGTGGTATTTTTTTCGGGTACTTGTTAGTTAACGGGGGGGGGGAAGCTGATTTTATTTTTGCCGCCTATCAAAAACTACTAAAAACACAATAAAATACATAATTTATTCGTAACGCGTGGCTAAATGCGAAAAATAAAAAGATTTCGCCGCTAAAGCCCCTCCCCCCTAAGAGCCCAGTACCACGACTATACTTGCAGCTCTCGAAAAGCTACTCGGCGAAGAAAGTGAGCTGCCGCTACTTCAAGACGCCCGAGGAGCCGGCCCGTGCCGACTTCATCCCGATGCTCAGCGCCTTCGATGAGGGCGAAGTTGTTGGGGTGGGTGGCGAAGCTTTAGCGGGCTTTTAAAGGAGCCGGCAAGCCAGGGATATCGATTTTTGTTGTGGATTCCTTGTTGGTTTCCTTTCCGCCGGCGCGAAAAGGACGCGCACTTTTGCGTTGCGTAACAAATTCCGCTTCGAATTTTAGGACGACTTTTGCGACTCGGTGTCGGTGATCAAGCGCGGCGATCTGGTCTACGTCATCACCACGTCCATGGGAAAATGGTTCGCATTTGAGGCCACATCCAGCATAGATTCTTGAAGTTTTTGTTTCCCAAAAAATCTCTGCTAGCCAGCCGTTGTCTATCCACTGGATTCCAGCAAAAATGCGTTCCGCGTCGGCCTCCGCACCACCCAGGTGATGCACAACATCCGCGACTACTACCTGGGCTCAGACAACAAGTGGGCTTCTCGAGTTTCCGGCATGGTTTTTCGGCATTTTTAGCTCGTTCCAATATTGCCGCCCGATGATCCCGACCACCCCACCGGCCACCGAGTTGCCATTCGTTGTCAGGAATGAGGTAGTGTCTTATAGGGGTTACGGTAGCTTTTAAAGGGATGGTGACACCAAGAGGAGCACAAATTTCGGTTCTAAAATCTGCAATAGAGACCGTTTTTCAGGATGACCGCGTCAAATGGTTTGGCTACGTCGCTGGCCCGAAGGTGAAGCAGGAAAATCAAATTTAATTTCTTGTGTCTAGCTGATGGAGACGACGCTGAAGCTGATGCTCTCGAAGGAGTACTACGACAGCGCACCCGAGGACCAGAACAGCGGCCTCGGCCACATGACCAGGGTCAGTGAATTTGAGGAAACTTTCGGATTAGCGTCCTTTCCGCAACGAACCTCCGCTAACCTGCCTTAACCCGCAGTCACGCAGCCTTTAAACGCCCTATTTCAGCCCATTTCCGCAAAAATCTATGTTAGCTTGCCTCACCCAGCTGCCACGCTCCGTTCAAAAGCACCAAACAAGCACTTTCCAAAAAAATCTTTGCTAGCCTGCCTCTGGATGCCACACCGACTCTAAAAGCGCTAAATCCAGTTAGCGTGCCGCATTCTATTTTACGCTTCCTTTATAGTTATTAGAGAAAATTTTGAGCCGATTCCGCAAAGGATCACTGCTAACTTGCCTCAACATCGGGTACAATCCCTTTAAAACCACGTTTTCAGGCTCGCTACTTCACGATCGACAAGGAGAAGATAGTGCTGAACCCTCGGATGGCCCGCCAACTCCACTATGTCCCCATCCCGAGCCCCGCACCCACAAAGCCATAGCCCGCCGCAGTATCACACATACCGTATCTGTCCCCCACCCCCACTCTATTGTATCCCCCCGCCGTAACATTCTTCTTCTTTTTGTTCAATTTCTCGTCTCTTTCCCCCAGTGTGTGTGTTTTTTTGGTTGTTTCGAGCGGAAATAAAGTTTTTCGAAAAATAATGGCCGGATTTTGTGGAGTTTTCTTCAATAGACCTTTAAAATTTTGAAATTAGCCATCGAGTGGTATCGTTATTTCCGGAAATTCGGCATTATTTTGTCGATAAAATGGAAAGAGAAAAACAAAAAACTACGGCAAAAATCACTAACCTTATACGGCGCGGCGCTGTAGACGAACAGTCGATCGTCGGTCCGTCCTTCCCGAACCACAATGACATCTACCAGATGACGATGCCGAGCTGGGAGTCGCCAAGTGGCATTTCCGGTACAAGGAGGGCCTGTAAACTTACAGAAAACGTTCTTGATACTCACCCGTGGGCCTGGTCGCATAAAAAGTGCCCCGATCCGCATCTACCGTACACCCACACGTGCAGTTCGAGTCCGTGAGCAGGAAGCGGCCTTCTGGAAATTATCAGAATAGACGACGAGTTCAGCAAGTTCAGTGCCGCTCAAACGCGTTCAGCTTGTTCAGAACTGTTAAACGGTTGCAACAAGTTCAAGGAGTTCAATTTTCAAGAGAATCACGGGTAAACGTCATTACTGCGAAAAGTCATTACTTCGAAAGTCGTTACTTCGAAAAGTCATTCGAAAAGAAAAGATTCACCAAGCCCAACATGTTTGCCATTTTCGAACACTTGACTTGGAGTCAATTTCAAGCAGTTCAATAAATAGGCGACGAGAGTAACAATAAGAAAAGATAATTTAGTGCCTACCACAAATTCAGGAAGTTCAATTAAACGCGTTTGTCTGCCCCAAAACTTCCAACAACTTCAACAAGTCCATCCCTACCTGGACACGGCTTTAGTGGACACGTCAACCGCTCGATCACATCACCGGAACAAGCTCGACCTCGCTTTGGTTTTGGCGAATCGCAGGCACGGGATCTCGTGCTTAAAATTTGGATTTAACATTTTAAAACTTGTGTTGCTTACCGTACACCCGTGCCACAAACACCCTCACATGGTGACCAGGAAGACCATGGGGACCAGCCGCCATGGACGGTTTCGACTGAAAAGGACCGTTTTAGGACGTTTAAAGGGCTTGGGAAGTCTTAAATTCCTCAAAAATCTTGGCTGGTTTGCCTAATTCTGGATCTAGCTCTGTGTCTTTAAGAATTTTTGCCAGCTTGCCTGAACCTGCACCTTGACTAATTTCCTCAAGGATCTGGCTGCTGTGCGAGAGAGCAAAATTGAGAGAGTGAGAACGAGATAGACAGGGAGAGAGCGCGAAAGGGAAAGAGAGAAAGAGAGAAAGAGAGGGGGAGAGAGAGAGAGTGATAGAAGGAGCGAGCGTGAGATTTCTCATCCTTTTAATGGCCCACATCATTCCAATTCCTTATTTGTTGACCATCGTCGTACAGTAATTATCCACTCCAAAGGACCAATCACTAGATTACTAGATTTGTTTTGCTCATCGTCACAATCTGGGCTCCTTAGGGCCCACAATAAGCCCAGAATCAAGTGGTGGTGGTGGCCCCATTTTCTGCCCTTCCCTTGGTCCCCCAAAGGGTCAAGCCCCCAGAAATTGGCCCCTCTTCATGGGGATTGAGGTGGTGTACAGAGTTGTGGTCCGTATGGCGTCTTTCCTCGTCTTGTGTGGGGCAATTATTCCCTCATTCATTCCCCCCTAGCCGGGACACCGATAAATCTTGGTGCCCCTCTCGGCTCGTCTCGAGCCGGGGGCGAGAAGGTGAACCCGTTAGCATGACTGGATCGTGGATACTCATTTCCTTAGTAGATAGCTATACCCCGAGGTAATGGAAAAAATCCTAAAGGAGCGTTTGCTAGCCTGCCCGTTCCGGAAAGAACACTGCTTGGTTTCCGATTTAAACTTTGCAAATCTGAAAATTCCGGATGATTTGCAAAAAAATCTGTTCTACCGAATTACATTAAAAACGCCGAAATTTCATAATATTGCAATATATTGTCGCTATTTACGGGACTTCTGCATTAGCGCGGGGGGGCGGAACCAACTTTTTCTCGAGGTATTTTTTCTATTAATGATTTTTCAATTTAGGTACGCAAGTATTTCTGATCTGTTTTTCTTTTTCTAAGCCTAAAAAAATTTAGAAATAATATACACTAGAAAATTTGACTTTTTGAATTGAATTAGAAACAGATTTTTTGACTAAAAATGACCGCTTTCGACCAAAACTTACAAAACTTTTAAAAATGGCGAATTTTCAAACAAAATGTCAGACGTTAAAAAGTTTTTTTCGCTGTTTAGATAGTTTCCAATTGGAATATTCGCAAATTTACCAAAAAACATTATTGGGCCACCCAATATCACATTATTAGGTATTTCTGGACGTTAGAAAAATAAGCCCTCCCCCCGATAATGGAAAAGAACCTCAAAAGTACTGTTTATTAATGGCTATCTTCATGATAGATTTCATGATGCATGATAGAATCATACAACTTTCCCTCATCTTTTTCAAGTTTTTCGTTGCGTTTAAGCCAAATTTACCCATCAAAACCTGATGCTCCCCTTGAAGTGCACTCATTTGTTTGGGACCTAAGCTTAAGCTCAAAGCCCCCCATTCAAGGCTTATTTTAAGCTTTTCCTCTGCTTTTTAAGCTTTTGCTTGTTGCGGAGGCGCCTTTGAGCGCCCGCGCCCTTTTCCCTTGGCTCCCCGGTCCCTCGGGCCTATACCAGTAGCCCTTTCCACCGTAACGGGGTCTCTCTCCCCCAGGGGCCTGCGATGGCATTTATTTCCCCAGTTCAGTTCTAATTTCCTCCTCCTATTGCCGCCATGTCGCTCACCGAATAAACAGTCTTTCGAACTGTTCGTCCCGCGCTGCCACACTCTACGCAAGACACAACAAAAGCTCAAAGCCCCCATTCAAGGCTTATTTTAAGCTTTTCCTCTGCACTACTATGGGCATTCAACAGGGTGGTAGAGTGCGAGAGTCTCTAGGGAGAGAGGGTAAACCCATCAACCATTCCATCTGTCCTGATAGGTGCTGCTAGGGCATGGGGACACTCTATAGAATATGGCAGACTGGGGGAGGGTAGGGGGAATTGTTTGAAGAGGAGTAATTAGTAGCCCCACGTTCACCCATCCGGCCAGGAGGGGAATATAGCCGGATGGGATGGTCGGATGATGGAGAAGAATCCGGTCGTATTTTTGTGCAGAAAAATCTGTAGCTCCCAGATTTTAGCTTTTAGCTCCCTGCTCCTTGCTCCTAGCTCCTAACTCCTAGCTCTTAGCTTTTTGATCCTAGCTTCGAGAGCCCGGCTCAAGCGCGTGAAAATTTTCGGGCATATAGTGAAATCCCGACAGCACAGCTTCAACTCCAAGCTCCAAGCTCCCAGCTCCCAGATTTTCTGTCAAGCTTTTCGCTCTTGGGATTTTGTCCTGTCGGTATTTTAGTGGTCGGGATTCTGGTATTACGCGAAAATTTGACCAATCAGCTATGAGCACCGGTAGAAGAGCTTCAACTTCTAGCTTAGCTCCCAGATGCCAGCTCCCGGCTCCCCACTTGCCAATTTTGGCACCCTAAAAAATTGGCACCATCCCCTTGTTCCTGTCTACAAGATGGGCCATCTGCCGTGTATCCCCCCCTATTGGCCCTCAACCCCGTTGGGTCCCCCGCAGTGCTTCTGTGTTCCTCCCCCCTTCGGGCCCATTGATTCTTGTAGTGGGCCACTTTTTGGGCCCCTCGCTGGGCCCTAATTTCATTGACCCAGAAAGGAACGGGCGAGAATTGGCTTGGAGTCTAGAGCCTGGGGTAACGGAGGTTTTTTAAAGGGATGGTGCCGGAGGCCTGCTGAATTATAAAACAATTAGATTGTGAAGAAGATGTATCAGAGAGAGAGAGAGAGCGAGAGAGAGAGAGAGATGGGGAGAGAGAGAGATGGGGAGAGAGAAAGCGAGAGAACGAGAAGGAGAGACAGAGACATAGAGAGAGCGAGAGAGAGAGAGTGAGGGAGAGAGGGAGAGAGATCAGATAGAGAACGAATACGGATCCTTGAGATACTAACCTGGCTCCGTGTGAATACACTTGACGTCCCATTGATGAAATTGTTCAGAAAGGGGATGTAGTGATACGAGCTCGAAACAGTACTGCTCGTAGAGAATGTCGAATTGGGAGCATGGCAGTGATAGCCAAGAATCGCCAGCGTCAAGCCCTAAAATTTGGATTTTTTGCGACAATTTTGGAAAAATTTTGCTCCGCAAACACTATAAAATGTAAAGAATTTAGGTTCAAGCCGGGCTTTTGTCATTTTTGATTGTTTTCGATAATATGGCTGGCGTTACCCCATGAATAGAATCCTTCCACCCGGATTTGCATACCAATTTCTTCTACGTAAATCGCTCTCTCTTCTACGTGATCCGGATTCCCTTCCGGCACTGCCAGAAGCCGAAGCCGGAATTGAAGAGGCGAGGAGGTGCATCTAAAAAAAATGTCTGATCGCTTAAAACAGCGTTCAAACCCAATGAATATGAATTAAATAGAAGGCACAGACATTTACGGATCAATTTTGAGTACAGTACCTCGGATTTGTCCACCGTATCTGGTACTCATCGGAGCAATGCGGAAATATCGAGCCCTCCCTCAACTGGAGCTTCACTTCCGTCGATGCATTCACAAAAAGTGTTTTCTCAGCCTGAAAAGTGTTTTCTACTGACTGGACCCTCCTACCGTAACGGTCACATTATTCGGGCCGATGAGGTCGAAACGGTAGACACCTGTTCGAGCAGTCGTTTCGCACGGGAATTCGATAAATTTCTAAAAAAAGTAACTACACAGATTCTGTAGCAGTTACCTCGGTATTCTTGAGCATCACCGTCTTCTCTTCCACTTTTACCCAATAGTCTTCAGAATCGGGGAGCACTTCGTGTGTCCTAAAATCTGCTCCTTTCTACAGTAATTCTTTACCGATGCCACATCTGGAGATGATACTGTTGCTCCTGGCACAATCGAGAGCGAATGTGTACTGACAATTCGGAAAGCAATGGGGATGCTGATTTTTGAGCAGAAATTTGGATGGCTGGGGGCCCCACGCTGAAGGTGAGAAGCTGAAAAAAGGTACGGTAGATGGGCCAGGTTATGGAATTAACGAAAAACAGCGGAAATTGAGAATTTCCGAAGGATCTATGCCAATTTGCGAAAGCAATTTGCTGCTCAATAATCTTTACTAGCCTCCAACGCCTACTTACCGTCGTTTCATTCTGCACTAGTCCGTAATCCCCTTCAACCGGAAAGCATTCACACGGGATTCTGCCACTGTAGAATTCACATGAACCGATTGGACCTGAAATTATTTTTGTTACCGTATCAATTTACTTCATTACCATTATATCTATAAAACTTACTAATAATAATAAAAGCCTGGGTGCTGGACGTATTCAGGTAGGCTTCGGAATTTACGGCAATCTTTTCGGGGTGGAGAAGGGCGCTGAAATTATAGCATTTTATTGATCACTTTCTTTCTATCACACTAGCTTTCTCTCTCTTTCTCTTAATCTCACCCTGTCCCTCTCTCTCTCTCTCTCTCTCTCTCTATCTCCCTCTGTCTCTCTATCCCGCGCTCCTCTCGCTTCGAAACAAAACTGACCTCCTTTGCCCCCTCGCTGCATACAGCAACAAGCAGAAGTAAAAGAAGCTGTGGTAGTGCGGCATTAGACATCACATTTTAGGGGGGAAATACGGTCGAAATATCCTGAAAATAAGGAGGATTAAAGCGAGAGAGAGAGAGAGAGAGAGAGAGAGAGAGACAGAATGCAAGCAAGCTAGCAGTAATCTTTTGTGATTCCAGAAAAGTCGTAAAACACGGAAATTTGGATAAATTAACATAAACCGGGCGGCGCTAATCAAAACACCCCCAAGCACCTAGTGAGTGTAGATGAAGGCAATCTGAAGAGCCCCCGGGGTGGGCCCTCCCGCTTTGGTGTCCGGGGGTCTTAAGGGGTTGTGGCGGGGGTAATATCCAATTTCTGCCGGCCAGATCATGGGCCCTGGGCCCTAACCTAGGGAGGGCCCAGCACCCCAGGGGGATGCCATAATAGGGGTGGGCAGGGGTGGGGTGTCTTCAGCACTTTGTGTCAAAATTCGAAACGAGGGTGGAGTGAATTAATTCTGACCCACACGCAGGCGAGCTAGCAGAGATAATTTGGGATTCGGCAGGCTTGCGGAATTTCTTTGAGCAAGGACAGGCTAGCCAAGATTCTTTAGGAATTGGGCGCAGCTGGCAGAGACTCTTTGAGGAATTCTTTAAGGAGGGCAGGCTAGCAGGAATTCTTTGAGGAAGGCGGGCTAGCAGAGATCCTTTGAGGTAGCACAATGGCAGGCTAGCATAGATTATTTGGGAACTGCTGACAGGCTAGGAGAGATTCATTAGGAATTGTATATTAGCAGAGATTCTTAGAGAAAGGGCAGGCTAGCAGACACTCTTTGAGGAAGGCAGGCTAGCAGAGTCCATTGAGGAATTTGCGGCAGCTAGCAGAAATTTTTAACAATTTTCCCAGGTAATCCCTGCTAGCCTGCCCATTCTTTCTTATGCTACTTTTTATAGCCCCAGCCCCGTCCAGAAAAAGTGTGGGGGTGAAGCCGTGAAAGGTGCAGAAAATTGCAGCGAGGCCAGCTTGGTGGAGATAATCGCGATAGGACCCCGAGGCAAGGCAATAGGGCCAGGTGTGTGGGCCTAGGCTTGAAGACAATAGCCCCAGCCTCCCCTCCCCCGGGGGAGTTGCGCAATTTGCGCCCTCAATTTCCGCGAAGCTCCCCCTTTAGGCGGCCGGGAAAACCGGGGGATTTGGGTGGAGCATCTGGCTTATTATCTTTTTAATGATCCTTGAGATTTGGGCAATATGGTTTGGGTTATTAGGCGAAAAAATATGTTTTTAAGAGGCTGGTAAGCCTTAACCAATGATACCTTTTAGGGTGAAAGAACTGAGAAAAGAGCTCTTTGATGTGAAAAACACGGTCATGTTCTCAAGGAAAAGGAATTGAAGGAAGGAACGGAAATCAAAAATTTTAAATTTTTCCATCCCACTTCCTTTAAAGGACCCAGTTCCCCAAGAATCATTGCCGGCTTGCCCCCAAAAAACATGAGGCTATCGCTTATAAAGTTGAAATTTTTAAGGAAGCTAGCAGAGAGTATTTAGGAATTTTTTTTTGATGTTGCAGAGGGGCGAGGGAGATAGAGGCAGAAACATCGAGAGAGCGCGAGAGAGAGAGCGAGAGAGCGATAGAGAAAGACACTCACCCACCCATAATTCTACCATTAATTCGATCAATTCATCAGAAATCTAATTTTGCAAATAATTATGCGAATTTGGCATATCCCAGGCACCAAAAAATGTGCCAATGACAACGCGGCAAATGAAAGTGATACCCTGTCGACAAGGGCGGGGTATACAATGGGCCCTTGGAATGAGGCCACCCATGCCAAATCATAAGATTTGCATAAGGGGCCGATGAGAGGATGAAGCCGAAGGGAGGGAGAGAGGACGAGATGGAGAAAGAGAAGGGAGGGACGGGTCGTATAACAGAAGGTGGCACCCACAGCTAGCCAGCCGGCCACAGCCACACATGGGAAAAAGGGGGTGGAGCCTCGGATGTTTGGAAGGAGGAGCGTAACGGAATGGATTAAAGGGATGGGGAAGTCAAAGGGGAAAAGTCTAATAAAATAAAATCAGGCTGTTTCTTGCCGATTCCTGAATTGTCTCTGCTAGTTAGCCGGAAGCTTCTCATTCATGGGTCACTTTTTACCGGACCAACAAATTTTTTCAGAATCCCCTAAAGCTTTTTGCTAGCCTTCCCTTAATTTGGCAAAATATTTACCGTTTTGCCGTTGTTAGGATTTGCGCTACAAGGATCCTGTCGACATCGTTCAGGCTCTTTCGTGTTCCTCACGGCTCTCTTCTAGCCTGCTCTGGTCCTCCTGGAGAACGCCTGCTAGCCTGCCCGGTGCTAGACCGTCGTATTTTCCTCAAAGATCCCCGCTAGCCCACCTAACCAAAATGAACAATATCCAAAGGATTATCCAATACTTTCTACCCAAAAAGATCCGATTACCTTTGGGTGTCGTGCAAGGGGATTTAGGGTCTTCCCCCCCTAGGGGGTCGGGCCTGGAGCCCTGTAATTTCGTCTTCAATTGTCGCCCCTAGCCCCCAGCCGGCCTCCCTCATTTTTATCCCCTTCCTCCCCTTCTTCGGCTTCAGCCATCCCCTAGAATAATGAAAGCCAGAAAAACCCCTGGCCGCCCATATCCATCAAATTGATGGCATGAGGAGAGCATTGGAGGAACGCTTAACGTTTTTCACGTTTGGGTCTGAAACCTATGAGAGCGGAGCAATACGGAATTTGGGGTAGGCTAGCGGAGAGTCTTGAGGAAACTGAGAAAATCGTTTCAAACAGGAGCAAAGGTGTAGGGTAGTAAAAGGTCTTTGAGAATGAGAGTTACGCTGGGCATGCTAGCTGGGAACATTCGGGGGAACGAGATCAGTTTCAACCGTAGCAGACTAGCAGAGACCATTTCGGAATAGGTTTTTTCTGGCCATCCCGGAGCTCAGTTCAATGCAGCTAGCAGAGACCTTTGCGGAAAACCAAAGCGATCGAGGCCGAGGTGAACGAGCAGAGTTTCAGGCGGAATATAAGCAATGTGAAATAATACTCGAATCGGGTCGACATAGCAGAGTTTTTTTAGGAGAAAATTATCCAGAAAAAGCAACTTCAAACCCGAAGCCAGCTATCAGAGAACCTTGAGGAAATCTTGCTTAAATTTACATATATGAGTTAATGAAATGGATTTTAGAAGCTTAAACCCGGATTTAAATTGCAGAGACGATTTGGCTGAAGGTCAGCGACTTCAATAGCCCTTTAAAACCACCCCAGCCCATCTGGACCCAAGTCCAAACTAAGCCGTCCGAAATGACCAGTTGTGGGCCCCAAAGTTGGCCCCAAACAGGCCCAGCCCCTCTCGGGACCAAATTAGTGCGTACTAGCTGGGGCGTAAGGGGCACATGGGTAGTGTGGGGTAGAAATGGGCCTCGCACCGCACTTTTTATCGGCGCTTGTAGCGTAATTGGATTCTGTAGAAAGGGGACTGAAAGGAAGGGCACAATATCTAGAAACCGGGCCGTGTAAACTTGTTCGAGCGGGAGAGCGTAAGAGAGAGTGAGAGGGTGAGAGAGAGAGGGAGAGAGAGCGGGAGGGAGAGAGATAAAGCAATAGAGAGAGCGAGAGAGAGAGAGAGAGAGAGAGAGAGAGAGAGAGCGGAAGAGTGAGAGCAGGAGAGAGAGCGGGAGGGAGAGCGAGATAAAGTGAGAGAGAAAGATGGAGAAGAGAGAGAGCGAGCGAGAGAGCTAGAGACCGAAAGGGCGAATGGGCGAGTGAAATAGATAGAGAGAGAGAGAGAGAGCGGGAGATAGAGAACGAGAGAGAGAGAGCCGTCGTCACACCGTCGGAATCTAAAGTCCAAAATCCCCAAGAATCTTTGCTTAAAATAACTGAAATTCTAAAGATCCCAAAAAATCGATGTCCAGCCCGGTTAAAAATTGCGTAAATTAATTTAGTAACCAGCGGGGGAGGAGCCGCTTCGCGACTCTCCCCCGCTGGACCCCGTCTAGGCCCTATGAATCGAGCGCCCTTCCACATAAAGTTACCCTGAACAAAGAAAAACACATCTCCCATGCAAGGCTCTTTGTATTGACATGCGGCGCAAGCTTAAATTGCTAGTGTCGTTATTAGGCCCGCGGCGCATGCTTGATCGGCCAGATCCTTATCCAGCGGCCACAGCTTGAGCGGTTTGCTTCGAGAGAAAGCCTGCGGCGCAAGTTTGAGCGGTTACCTCCTTCTTTAGCCTGCGGCGCTAGCTTCAGCGGCTAGCTTCGCTCCAAAGCCTGCGGCGCTAGCTTCAGCGGCTAGCTTCGCTCCAAAGCCTGCGGCGCTAGCTTGAGCGGCTAGCTTCGTTCTAAAGCCTGCGGCGCTAGCGAGCGGCTAGCTTCGCTCCAAAGCCTGCGGCGCTAGCTTCAGCGGCTGGCTTCGCTCCAAAGCCTGCGGCGCTAGCTTCAGCGGCTGGCTTCGCTCCAAAGCCTGCGGCGCTAGCTTCAGCGGCTAGCTTCGCTCCAAAGCCTGCGGCGCTAGCTTCAGCGGCTAGCTTCGCTCCAAAGCCTGCGGCGCTAGCTTGAGCGGCTAGCTTCGTTCTAAAGCCTGCGGCGCTAGCTTGAGCGGCTAGCTTCGCTCCAAAGCCTGCGGCGCTAGCTTCAGCGGCTGGCTTCGCTCCAAAGCCTGCGGCGCTAGCTTCAGCGGCTGGCTTCGCTCCAAAGCCTGCGGCGCTAGCTTCAGCGGCTAGCTTCGCTCCAAAGCCTGCGGCGCTAGCTTCAGCGGCTAGCTTCGCTCCAAAGCCTGCGGCGCTAAGCTTGAGCGGCTAGCTTCGTTCTAAAGCCTGCGGCG